GCCTAGTTATCTGAGGGGTAATGGCTGATTATGACGCGGGGCATTGAAAGCCGCAAGGAAGGTGGCTCGCCGATGTCGCCTTAGCTTTGCGCGACCTACTGTTGTTTGTGACCGTATGTTCTTGCCATGGTGTAGGATCCTGTACCCTTTTCCGTTTTGGTTATATGGCAGCGAAACATCAGTTCAAATGGCTAGCGTACTGCTGTTTATGATTATGGTAATTTCAGCTAGCAAGTTGCTGGAGTGGTACCCAGGGGACTCGAAATCTGTCCCCTCTGTGCATCCCTTACCCCGATGACGCCCAAGGATTTTATCACACCTAACTACTCTATCTGACGTCAGTTTTTGTCTTTTGTGCTTGAACCGTTAATACTACATTGGTAACAGTAATTCTTAAAGGGTAGTAAAGGTATTTATTTTCTTTTTAAAAGATTCGTCGCAGCTAGACTCTGCCAGAAAGCCACCATACATCCAGAAAATTACTGGACGGTCGCTTTGTCCTATTGGCTGACAATAGTGTTACCATGATTAGTATTATGGCAACATGGGTCATAGCGACTTAATCCACCACACACTAGTGCACAGATCGTAGTTAAACCTTATTTTTCCACAGATACATCGCAGTCTCTCATCTTTTCAATTGCTGAGTTTCACATGTTTTGAACCATTTCCCGTTTATCAGTACCAGTCGGTGTTTTACCCTTTCTATGATTTACTTTCTGTAATACTCATCATCCAGATATTTTGCCGAACTATTTTGATCGATTTGAAAATGACACCACTGTTTCAGTGGTGGTGTATCAGCCTCTAATTTTTGTTCCTCTCCTGTATGCCTCTGCTACTTCGTCGGATGTTTTCTTCTTCCACATTCATTCGTTCTCATGGTAACCGGAGTTATGGCGGTCGGTCCCGTTGCGCTTCATTGCTTTGAGTATAGTTGATCTACTTGGACTGATTTGGACCACGCACTCAACTACGCGATGTGCCAGTTTTTAGTTCAGTTCACTTAAAACCACTCGTGTACACTTCCGTTCCATCGGTCGACGTGGATTACTGTTTTCTTCGTTTAACATTTGTATCCAAAAGCTAGTCTGTGGACTAGAGTCCTGTTTTACCTCTCATCGCCTATTTTGCTCAAAATGCTTTATGGGTAGGTGATTCACCACCATTCACTCTTGGGTATGCGTACAAACACATTCCTCACGATTTCTCCATGCATGTACTATAGCTAACCGGGTTTTAGTGCATAACTATCGAGCATCATTTGCCGCTGCAGTTGTGTCCTGTCAACCTGTTCTCCGTAATTCTGACACGACATTATTTCAATTGCGTTACTTGTGTCCGTTTGCTTCGTCCGACTCATCATTGGAGCGGTTGGTCTGGGTGTACGAATCCATCCCCTCTCACGAAATGCACCTTACACTGCCTCTTTGATTGTATCGTCCATCGCTCGCTAGCATGCCTTGTGCACGGGCATTTTCGCATGGAACTGAGATGAATGTAGATCCCCTTGTCTCCGAAATCGTCCTCTTCGTTCATCTCATTCTATTCCACCTTTGTGACGAGTTTCCGGACGCCTCTCTGGAAACGTTCATCACTCATCTGGGGTGTCACGTTTCTCAGTTTATTTTGAACTTAAGCTTAGGTTGTCGCCTCATTAACCCCTCCCATCCGATTCAGGTGGTTGGACTGTGTCCTTGGACAAACTGCTTGATCTTGGTTGCGGTCAATGTTCATCTGACGTTAGTTTGTATTCCACCCAGAGAAACGTGGCCGTTAGTTTCATCACGCCAGGACCAAACTGGTTACCAACTGGGTCTGTTTACATAGAGTGATCTCGATTACCCGAGTGACAACGTCAAACTCTTTGACAATCGCTGTGCGGCATAGTCAATCTCATCTACTTTCCTTGGGATAGTTCCATCATTTGATACACTGCACATTCAAACTGATTTTACCGTAGCACCAGCCGCTTTGATCCTCGAAGACCAGAATTTGGACCTAGTTACTCTGCTCACCTATCTTGATAGCCGCATTAGTAGCCAGGGGAGTGTGGCTGTTGAGATTTGCTCACATGTTCCGAATAGGGGACTGACTTTATGGGTCGGTGGCTCCTCTGGCACCAGAATGTTCTTCATCTTGTTCTTGAATGTAGTGTTTCCTGAGGATTGTTCTCGTTTGTCTAAGCGCTACACGTGGCCGCTTCTACCTGAGGACCATCATTGCCCAATGGGCATTGCTAGTGTGGAGTTGCACCAGCGTGTTCACAACGATGAGATGCGCAGACGAGTATTGAATGACTGACTAGATCAGCTCGTTAGATCAACAAGTATTAGGGTTGAATGAATTGTGTTGGTTTGGACACTTTCTGTGTATGACACTTACCGTTTACCGAAAGAGACTTTGTCTCTTTTAACATATCTAAGATGGGTGCAGTTGATCCTTCCCTTCTTCCAGACTATGATTCAGTCAATTCGCTCTCTGCTCGTGTTATACTTTACAATTCATGAACCGCGACGGCTATTTGTGGTGTTCCAGCCATCGTCTACTATTTGGGTTACCTGTTTTGGGCTTGTCTAGTGCTGCTGGATTTTCTACCGAGTAAGGCTGAGTATGAGCAGCGAACACCTCAAGCGATCTGTCTCATCAAGATAATCTTGTCTCCACACAGTAACCGCTTCCTTGTGCTAGTGTGTTGCTTTCTCATAGCGCTTCGCCTTCGCACCGTGTCATTCTTCTCTCTTCCTTACTTCTGTTCATTGGCAGGATCGTCGCAGTTGTACCACATGAGTACAATGTATTAATGTTATTTTACGTGGTAATTTCTCTTCATTCATGTCTCATACACTAACCTTGCCTTTTAATCACTATGTTCTTCATGATTTGCCCCACATGTGTTGGCACTTCTATATCTTGTAGTTTTTATGCCGACATGCGTCGTTTTTGGCGTTCACAGTGCATTGCAGTTTATTTCGTTGAATAGATTGGCCGATGCCAATTGGGTTTCTTTGATCTCTGCCCACTCCCAAATCTGGAGAGGACTGCTTGCATTTCAATGGGTAGGATAACACAACTCTGACGTTGTTTGTTGGCGAAATTGGTGAACAACAGTGCACATGGTCTTCCACTAAATTGCCACAAATTTTCTTGTTGGTGTGTGTGTGTGTTGCATACCTAACTCCCGAACTTCGCATCTATCCTTGCATATGGGCCAGTAAAAATGCGGCATGCACCTAAGTAACCGTTGCTGGGATTCATTCCCTTTTACACTATGTATTGCTCGCCACTGATCAACTCCAGCAGGAGCTTTCGTCTCCTAAGTGGTAGCTCTCCCCTCAATTCTGACGGACCCACTCATCTTCACTAACATTTCTCGGACCCGCAATAGGACTCTTTCGCAGCTGCATTACCAACGACAGTTTAAGAGGAATGGGGACACCTCGATACTGGTTTGTACATAGTGCTTCTTCCAAGGGCGTTCTGGGCTGTAAACCTGACTTGTAATCCGTGGGTGCGTGTTCGAGCCTGTGTAGCGAATGGGCGATGCTCGCAATATCCTTAGCCTACTTGCGACCATTGGTGGCTACGTGGCAGCGAAATGTTGGTACGCAGTACCGACGTACTGCTGATGCATTTTTTAAGAGCGCACTGGCACCACGTACCAACACTTCGCTGCCATGTGCTCCCCCACTAGTCGCGTGACACTGCGAAACCGCCCGCAATTACGTGTACCAAGCGCTTTATCTATTTGGCCGCCTGCTGACACCCGGCTTCGCTCAATCATTGTCGTTCACCGAACCGACTTGACATGTACCTTTCCGGTAGTAACCTAGAGCTCCTGATGTACTGGTTTAAAGCACGATGCTTACCTACCCAGATTGGTTACTTTCCGCGACACACCACGTCACATGGGGGTCCAAGGAAGCTTAGTACCCTATTTTTCAAAATAATTGGGGTACACTAAGTCTCCCTTCTCCATCCAACGTTGCACGCCTAAATGGCCATGTAAGACATTTTATTTTTGACCTCAGCTAGGGTATAGGTCCTTTCGGGCAACCGATTGGCGGACTTAGTGTACAAGAACGATATGAGTTTGTTCCCACCAACACGACCTGATACGCGAACGCTTCTGTGTGGAGCGATGGACAGCACCACGCCTCTCACTATCTATTCCTAACCTTCATTCTCCAAAATGCTGTCGCAAGATTAGAGTAACACCCCCCCCCCATTCTCTGAGATCAAACAATCACTTGAAGTCGTCTGCTTTTTTATGGACGGCTGTATCAGCTCTGGCTAGAAATCCGAGGCAGAGGTCGGAGGTCACAATGCTCGTGTTACCTAAAACCTATGGTGATAGTGTGACATTTGGTCATCAGTTAGGGTCATGGTTTACGACGCTGTGTTACGTCTGCCGTTTTCGTATGTTATCTTTCTGTATTAGGGCACAATAGTTGTTATGTGTTTTCCACCTTCAGCTAATGTGATGACGATGATGCTGATGTTGGTGGTGGTGGTGATGATGACGATCTTCTTGGCGAGTACTGCGTGCTTCCCCTCATTCTTAAAGCCTTTGCTTTCACACATCGCCCAGCGGCTTAATTCGCCGATCGAAAATTGTGTTAAATCTTGAGCTACTCATTGTGAGCGCGTGCTGCTCACGAAGTCTCCAAGCACTTTGTTAGAAGTCCGGTGACTATCCGATTTAATCTGCTTGTGTTGGGCCCGGTTGCATTTGGACCTGTAGTTTAAACGGCATTATTGCCCTCAAGGCTGGGCTTGACTTGCAATGGATTCGGTGCAGCTGATAGCCAGAAACAGCAGTGTGCATGTTGAGGAGCGCATTCGCACAACTGGCTTTGCCATTGCTCTATAAGTTCTGTAACCACTGAAATATGTACTATCCCCCAACTCTTCATCTAACGCAATATTCGAGGAATTTTGTATTTCTTTTCCTCTTCGCTGACCCTACTCGATTGTTCCCTCTTTATTGTTCGTTTTAGGAAGTATTTGGATCCTCAGTTTACCTATTTTGGTCCAGAAGCCTGCGGAAATCTACTAGAGGGTGTGGATTTCCACAAGTTTTATTTTGAACAAAGTGAGTTCACTACATACACCTTTTGTGCTCCACATGGATGAAACGCTCGTGTTAGATCAGTCCTTTCTGTCAAACTTACTGTCAAAACATTTATTTTATCACTGTCCTCTGTTATGGTAACATTACTTTCATTTCACGTTCTCTTGATGCTTCGGTGCTTCATGTAAGGACAACTGCGTGGTCGATCACGCACAGCTTTAGTAGGGTTGGACAAGTTGGTGTACTTTCGTTAAGTGATACCATCATCATCAACAGCAGTACATCTTCCATTTGAACTTATGCTTCGCTGCCATACAACCATGATGACCTATGGCATAAAGAACAATAGGAGGGAGAGCAGACGGACTCACTGAAAAATCGTAATGCTCTAAACAAGCATTCAGGATTAAGGCGCCTACACCTTGTTTAGACAACATGCCATCACAAACAGCTGGCTATGGTGTAAAGATAAGGCGACATCGGCGAGCCAGCTTCCTGGCGGCTTTCAATGCCCCGCGTCATAATCAGCCATTACCCCGCAGATAACTCAGCACCAAACATACTTTAAACTGACAGTCTCACGAGAAGGCGATAGCCGACGCGCAACTGGTATCGACTACGAGCCGTGTCTCATAGTCTCGAGCCAGGTACAAGGCGAGTCACTGGGACTCTAGTCTAAAAGATTAGACGGGCCGACGACACCCTGTTGGGTCGCCATTAACTTCATTTCCCGCTGCCAAATCAACTTTTGTCTACCTCGAGCCTTACGCAGTCCTGCGTCTGGCAGAAAAAATAACGCCCTCATCGGTAAGCGGTGATCGAGTGTATGTAGTACGTGCCCAAGCCAACGCAACTTATTCAATGCTATTTGTTATTTTAAGGAACTAGCATGATTATCACTGTCTAGTACTCGTCTACGCATCTCATTGTTGCGCACAACCTAGTGCCAACCGACACCAGCGAGATGAATCAAGACTTGAAGATGCCTTAGATCCTCAGACAGAGGGTGCCAAGTCTTACTGCCATAGAGTAGGACGGCCTTCACTGTGACCTTGTACACACGGCCTTTCTGACGGAGGAAAACTCCTTTCTGTCACCAAAGATGCAGATTCAAGTAGGCATTTTTAGCTTTTGCGATACGTGAATGAACATCAGTGGCTATGCACCCATCGTTGTTGATCCAGCTGCCAAGTTCCTCGCAAGCTAGGGTCAAGGAGTCAACAGTGCATCCAGTGGTATTGCACCAGCAGTTTGCGTTTTGAAGACGCGAAACGCTTGCCAGATAATGGGACCACTCTGGAGAGGCTATTTAAAATTGATTGTGCCGCTCCAACACCGTTAAAAATCAAGACTATGTCGTCCTAATAATCATGTTCAACGAGCCTTTCACCATGCAGCAGCTCAACATCTGCACCGTGATACTTTACTAGGGAGCCCTCCGTGCTTGCGTTCCTCGACGAAATTAAACAAAAGTGGGGATATTAGGCAATCCTGACGAATGCCACTTGTTGTCGGAAAGATATCCGCCAGGTCACTGTAGACCATGACGCGGCCTGTGGTATTCAAGTACGGTGCACGGAAAATGTTCACACATTTCGTGTATGCATCTTTCCGCGCAAGTCTTTCGAAAAGAATGCATCCATCTACTGAGTTGAGCGCACTCTAGAAGTCTAGGAACACAGCTATTGTCGGTCTGCGGTCTACGTGGCGTTGTTCTAGCATCTGCCGCAGAGTGAATATATGGTCTATGCAGTCACGTCCTGGACGAAAGCCGGCCTGCTCTTCTTTAATCCTGCATTCCCGTTCCAAAGTGAGGCGACGAACGAGACTTGAGGCCAGTAATTTTGTCACAACTGACGTTAGGCTGATACCCCTGCGGTTGGCACATGCTGTTCGACTGCCCTTGTGTATTACCACTATAATCGACTTCCTCCAGTTAGGCAGGACACCTTTCCATCCAGATTGCCTCGAATAGGGAGATCAATGATTTGAGGAGAACCTCACCATCTGTAAATATTGCAGGTGCGAGGGAATCCACACCTGCTGTACGAAAACGATTGAGCACTGCGATCGCCTTTCGCACTTCAGCCTCTGATGGAGCCATTAGACTAACGGTCGATGGCTCATCCTACATCGCTTGAGTAGGATTAGATCCGGGAGCAGGTGGCCAACCGAACCGATCTTGAAAGTGTTCCGCCAAACGAGCCATACGCGCTCCTTATTGTGAATCAGTGCATCAGCGCTGTCTCTGATTGTCTCGCTGACAACTTGTTTCCTGGAATCAGCGGCGCATATCAGCTGGAACTGCTCGCGGTAATTGCCTACTGCTCCTACCTGCTTCATTTCTTTTGCCCGACTGGTCCACCAGGCTCTCTTGTCAACACGCAGGCTCCGCTTTAGTTCGCGCATAATAGTCTGTCTGATCAAATTGTGCTCAGAGCCAGCCGAGAGGTTCCTTCTAGATTTCAGCAGGTTCACTGACCTTTTGGATATCCAGTGACTGGTGCGGTGACGATTGATAGTGCCACAAGCAGCTGCTCCTGCTTCGTGCATGGTGATGGAGATGCTATTCTATCGTAGCTCAGTGTCATTAGGACAAGACAGCGAAAGTTCGGTACGCAGTGCGCCTTGATAGGTTTGCCTGCCCGAGGAATGAGACAATTTCTCGGTTGCAAATCGGAGAAGAGGCTTGGTGCGCCTCCCGTAAATTCATCGAGAAACGACGGCGTACCACGACATGGTCAGGGTCGACGCAGGTATTCCAGAACGAGCGACAATCCAGGATGGAACCACGCCACCTGTAACTTATGACAATGTGATCAGTTTTGCGTCTGTCACTGGCCAGCTACAGGAGGAAGTCAAGTGGCACTTCGGCGCCCACTGTGTCTAAAATCGGTTCTACTATGAGACAACTGGTGCACCGCACGCCGTTGTAAGAGACACTCACCGTTGTCAGTTCGTTCGTAGTTAAGCCCATAATTACCACCTAGCTGAGCTTCTGAAGAGCTCAGACGCCCTACTTGCACTTTAATATATCCTGCAAGTGTTATTTGTGACTTAGTGGCACTGCGTAGTAGCGCGTTCAGTTCGTGTTAGAATGTGTCAATGATATCATTTGAACGGCCGTCCTTGTCAGCATAAGCGGAAATCATAAACAAACAGCGTTTTGTACTACTTCGTGAATCAACCTTAGCGGATGTCGTCAGACGGGCTGCACACAAACGGCTGTTCACCGGAATCCAATCAACGAACGATGGCTCATCCTTGGCGTTTGAAAGAATACCTACACCAGCTTGACCAGGGAGTGCAGCATCAGCGTCTCCGTATGCATGCAACCAATAGCGAGAGGAGAAGCAGTTACTTCATCAACCCCATTAGTGTTAGTGATCCTAGTTTCGGACACACAACATACGTCAATACCCAGTGTGTCCAACGTGCGTGCGAGTGCAGCCTGTTGATCTATTTGTCTTAGCGTGCGAATGCTGAACACTGCCTGTCAAACGGGACATCGTGGCTTTATAAAGGACTGTTGCTGGTAGGCGCGAAGGTGACTGCAGATGGTTCGACTCCAGTGACACTTCGGTTGTTGTCAATTAAGCTGGGAATTATAGCAGGAATGTGAGTAATGGGGGTCGTGACTTCCGTTAGAGAAACAGGTGGTAAAGAAGGAAGCGAGGCGCCAAAAGTAGGATGTTTTTGCTTGTCGGGCGTGATGTATGCAGCAAATAAGGCGACCCTTGTTAATCTGCGCGACGGCCGATGTAGAATGTGGTTAGCCTTTGGGTAAATTGTCATAGTTGTATGTGGGCTGAGATACTTTAGGGCGCTCAGACCTATACAGAAGACGATTAGGGTCCTCAACCAGATTCTTTGGCTCAAAGCCTGTTCGCAAGGCAGCGGGGAGCTGGCAATGGTTTAGTTGTACAGAAATGGATGCCATATTATTTCAAACCCTTCACCTGTAGTACCAGGTGACTGAGTTTGTCTGTCCTCCAGCCATTGACCAACCTGGTAGTAGTAGCTCTCACAGGGCCCGGGGCACCTCCCACTCCATGTCAGTGCGTCAAGATGGTACGCAAACCGTCCCGCCACGTTAAGATCCAATCTGGGTCCATACACTTCTTTAGGGAACTATGGAACTCCTTACATTGACAGCGTTCGGCTTATCATTCCGTCTGCTTTACCTTCTCCGCCCACCATGTATTTCTAATGCGTCGGTGTTCCCTAGTCAGTCAAGTAAACCTTCTTCTCCGACACCAATGGGCGCATTTATTTATTTATTCGCATGACAAAGCTTTTTCGTTCGAAGAGCGTATACAGTACAGACCAGGATATATTTCTTTATACAAGCACATCAATCGACTTGACACTGGATGAGCTAGACGTCACTTGCCCCATACCATATGGAAGATGGGGTGGTATTTAAACCAGCAGGTAGCTCGTTTACACAGACAGAGAAAATATTACATCTCCGCGTTATGAAGCGTTTTTGATAAGGTACTGCGATAGCGACTGGGTGGTATAGGGAGTCTTTCAGCAAACACCGCAATCAGTCGGAAGTGTAAAGAACGTTGTGCCGTCTATCTGGGTCAAGTTAAGAGGTCTGTGAAACATTGACTTATCAAGCTGAACACATTTGGGCGACCGCCGCTCTCTCACATCAGATCGAACAGCGTAGAGCTCTTAAGACTTATGCAAGCGTAAAAAATGTCAAGGAACACAGACGTAATAAGTGTATATGATATGAGAACTCACTTAATGTGACTCGCAGAAATCTCTAGTTAAACTGGTACACCTCATCTGAGTTTGAGACGAATGAGTTCTCAAAAATCGCACACTGCCACCGAGAACCATCGGAATTTGTATCTCTTTACCTTGACATCGCTTAAGACCAACTTCGCACCCAACACGGTGGCGTTTCACCGTTGGAAATTGCTTCTGCCCTCATAGCTGAAACTAACAAACCACAACTTGTGCACAGTATCTTGAGGTCATTGCAAAATATCGATAGAACAAAACAGCCTTAATGATCCTGTCAATAATCTAACCAAAGCAGTTGTCAAAACATTCCGAGAAAACTTGCCAGTCCGCTGTAGATCGTGTCAAAACAATGTTCCAGCGGCTGACTCAGCACTAGCTCCTGCTTTATCTCCTAATTGGTTTGTTTAGCTTAAAGACTGAGACCACTGATGCCATTGCTACAGCTCACCCCATTGTACACTTGCTGTTTGAAAACCAATCTTCACCAAATATATTTCTTTCAGAATCTAGTTACTAATGTTCGTTTCATCTGGCGGCGTCTCTTGTCCTCCCCTCCACACTACAGTCATCCCCAAGTCAGTTGTGCGATCAATTCATACCAGTATCCTCAATCCGACGGTTCACTTGCTCGGCGAGGATGCTGCCTGCATCGCTTACGTCCGTTTAACCCAATTCTTGGACAAGTGAGTCCTCCCTATTTCCATCAAATCTCTGACTTTCTGTTGCGTTCGTGGTGGAGTAGCAATGTGCCGAAGATCACTCCCCGGGTGATGTGAAACCGTCCGCTGCGGCTCAGGGCTTTTAGCTGCTATGCGAACAATCGTGTCACACTGTGAATAGATTCTGTGTCTGATGACAGTCTGTTCACACCGTGTTTAACCGCAACTTCTCTATTTATCCGAATATCGCATATTTCCTGCTATATTCTCGGGTCCCACCCATCTTAGTTTTAGGTGTAGCAGTCACACTTTATGCGTTCACTCCCAATGAAAACTTCGCCACTCTGATCAATAAACGACAAACCCTAATAATATCAGTGCGAAGCGCAACCTGCTGTAAGTGGGCTACTCCTAGCACAGCATTCTGATTCATTGACGTCATCGGTGAAATTTCCAAACTTATGCATAGACTATTTCGCGTCCATCGACAAATGCGACCACGTTTGCAATTGGACCCTTGAACAGTAAAGCGATGTCCAAGCTACTAGCTCATAAAATATTAATCTCCACGAGACATCTTTCTTTTGGCAGTTCATCAACTATATTTTGATCACTAGTGCCTACAAGAATTTGAAAGTAGCGATGTTATATATATCAGCGGTTTGCTGTTAAATACTTGCGATGATTTGTCATTTTCCGGATTAGAACTGATTTCTATACACAACTATGTTCAAAATTGGTTTTCTCCTCCCTATGTCAATGTATCTAAATGTTTTTCTACACTCGCCAGCCGGTTGGCCACGATAGATTGATTTTCACGGAATATGCGCTTCAAAAATTTTGCATACATCGTGAAGTTGACTTTGTTGATTGGGATGCGTCTGAGTTTTCTAGTCTTACACCAGCAGTTCAGGTCGCACCAGGTGGCAGATTCTGTCATTCTCCTCATGAACGCTGACAAAACCAAGAGCACAGTGGCGTTGAAGATGCCCCAGTTACATAAGACATATGACACAACTGGTCTCCACAAACTGATTGAGAATACTCACTCGTCACTTCCCAGTGGACCGAAGTAACTGTCCTTCTGAAGTCCAAAGGGCGATGGTAGATTATTTGGAGGATGTTTGTGAGAAACGTAAGTTTCGTAGAAAGTAGAAGTCATGATTAAACTCCACACGAAAATCTGCCTCAACAGAGAATCGAACCCCGGTCCACGAATTTCCGGTCCGCTGCTCTACCACTGACCTACCGAGGGCTGACGATTAGGTGCGGAATTTAATACATGACTTCTGCTTGGTGCGCGACGTATTGCCAATGAGCTCACAGTAACTGTCCTGGTGTTGCAGATCGGCTCACTCACTCGTCACTTCCCAGTGGACCGAAGTGACTTTCCTTCTGAAGTCCAAAGGGCGATGGTAGATTATTTGAAGGATGTTTGTGAGAAACGTAAGTTTCGTAGAAATACGTCGCGCACCAAGCAGAAGTCATGTATTAAATTCCGCACCTAATCGTCAGCCCTCGGTAGGTCAGTGGTAGAGCAGCGGACCGGAAATTCGTGGACCGGGGTTCGATTCCCTGTTGAGGCAGATTTTCGTGTACAGTTTAATCATGACTTCTACTTTCTGCGAAACTTACGTTTCTCACAAACATCCTTCAAATGATTGAGAATAAACAGCAACATCTGTGATGAATAAGACTAGAGCCGATGTTGGTAGTTGCCTGAGGAACGTGAAATACGATGTAATGACAGGTAAGTAGTATAACCTTTAAACAAGCAGCAAATATGCGTCAAATGCTCTGTTCGACCCTGATGCATTTACGGGAATCACTTCTCATAGATAGGACGACCAATTGTGTTTATAAAATAAGTTGCAAAGGCTGCCCACCTGCACATAGGCTCAACTCTGAGCGTCGCATACTAGGTTGGGGAAACACACGTAATGTTTGTCAAGGCCGCTCGAAAAATCAGCTTGAATACAGAGCATGTTATAAGTTTGGACGATATCGGAATCATTAGGAGGGGTTGCGATCAACGCTCCAAAAGCAACTTGCTGTAGCGGTGGAAATTGACATAGCCAGTGGCCAAGTGAACAGAGTGCATGGGGTGGAGCTGTCAAATATGTGGCGAACTGTCTTAACCCGGGCAGTTTGATGAGCGTCGGCGGACGGATTCAGCTTGGAGAGCGAGCATCAAACCACTCCTACTCGTATCATTGACAATAATTTGCATCTGTTGTTATCGTAACATGGACCACTTGGAACTTCTTTCGTTCTTGGTGTAACGCTTGGGATGATACGTCCACTTATAACGGCTATTACTTTGTACCACGTCCCTTGTTTGTCGTGACTATCCTACCAGTGGGCTATAAAGGCCAAGCCAATTATGTACCAGTTCACTCAGTCTGACGAACGTTCGGTATCAAATGCGTAACCTTATCAACCAAAAAATACTAACTGATCTTTTGAAATTATAAGTTATCGATCGGTCCCATGTCTATTTCACTATGTTTAACCTTTCTTTTCTCTGTCTTCTGTACATTTGCGACTCTGAAATTGACTACCTAAGTGGTTGAATACCATACTATAACGAATTCCTTCAGTCGCTATAAACTCAGGTTCCTTCCGCCTCAAGGTAAAGTCGGAGAAGGCGTATATATAGGCGAGATAGACTTTTATTGTCGAAACGTGCAATCCTGCTAGCTAAAGGCACCGTAAAAATGTTCTAGCTAAGAGAATAGTCGCCAGTCGAGACGAAACAAACGCTCTCCGAGGCGGTAAAATCAGAAGCGCGCGAAATGCGATTCATCCGCTTGACTCAAACCCACCTAGTCATCGTTCAAACAGGCACGTTTGCTAACTTGTCTATGTACAACATGATATTTTATTTTATTGATATCTTACACAGACAAACAGGAGAATCTCCAGCTCACTACACGCGTATGTTTAACCTTTCTTTTCTCTGTCTTCAATGTGGACATTTTCGGCCCCGGAATCGATTACATATGTGATTGAATGTTGTACTATTCACGAATTCTTTGCAACTTGTATTCGCCTCTCCGTAGTCTGATTCCTCCATCTTGCGACTTTTGACTATGTACCGCACTGCATAATACTAATAATACGCATATTTCCCGATTGTGCAAGAAGCTGCCCCTGAATTTGGGACAGTTCATGAGTACAGCAATAATCATGCTCATGCATCGATGAGGTGTGTATTCTGGAGTGTGTGACATCAAAATATTTTGGAATCACATAGCTTTGTTGTTGCTGTTTTCTGTACCATCTTTTCTCGTTGGTTATATATTCCTTGGTCCATCCTGGAAGAACTCGTGTGGTGATTTACCCGATGGAAACATGGTCATTATCGAGTTCTGCTCCAGGAATTTATTAAGCTGAATGCGGAATGTTCCTGCATTTGTGGAAAACCTGATTGTGCCTAGTAGGCTATTCCACAGGACGGCGTATCTGACGAGGAGGAAGTTGGATCGGATAGCTCTCCCGGTTCTTAGCACAGTACAAGTCTTGTTGCGCATATTCCGAGTGAAGTTATGTTGCAATTTTAGTGTGGACAGATTGGAATATGTCTTTTGTTTTATGATTTCGTGTATCAGCATCAGGTTACGTTGCGGTCATCGCAACCAAAGGGACTCGAGCTTAAGCTTCTGACAACGCCTTTGATAGCTCAAGTTAGACGATTTACTGAACAAACGCTTAGTGAATAATCTTTGCAGGTTTTCCAAGGTTTTCCTATCTCCCCTACGCATGTTCCCATAAATGATGCTTCAGGATTCAAGGACAGGAACTGTGAGTATTTTTAAAAGCTCGATTCTGGCAGGGACTGTATGTATTTTATGGTATATGTTAGTCATATTGCCCCATGCTGTGGCTGATGTTGCATTCATGATGCTTCTTCACCGCAGTTGGACTAAACAAACTTACACTTAAGCGGTCCTTTTAACGTGGATAAAATTCATTCCAATTTATCTGTTTTGTTCTACTTACCGGAATAAGCTTCTATTAACTTGCACACGTCGATCAGAATAATTGTGTTTATCTTCGTTAACTTTATCGCATTTGTGGCACCTTTTTGACGGACTTGTAGACATTTTTTGCTTATCGCGGTTTCATTGCTAACCAACTTACTTCATATGTTAATTTAGCGAGGAGTTGTGTCTGCATAGCCGTATGATTCAGCGGATAGCTTTTATTTCTTAGTGCCATTTCAAGTGATTGGCTGTTGTATCACATCCCCGGTGTGGCTGCGCTTGATGTGCATGTTGACGAGGTGCCTACCTGTCTATTACCCACTACCTTGCCCATACTGGCTCTAGGAGACAGTTGGTTGTTGCTTGAGGGGACGGCGTGCACGGTCATTCTGGCCGTGCTAGGCTCAAAGAGTGGTTCCACACACTCAGTGTGGAGCGGACTACGGTCCAGGCACCACCTTGTGTGCGATTGATTCCTCAACTACAGCGTGCTTGTGTTTGCCTGTGTAGGAGTGTGGGCCGGCTCCATTGATGAAACGTGGCTCCCATCCACATGCCTCCCGGTCTTATTCCTTCTAGTTTACACTGGATATAGGGTGTGTGGTTGGTGCAGCTCAAGCCACCCATGGTCCCTCTGTAGGTGCAGGCGTCCTGTGTCTGGCCACATTGACCGGCAAATCCAACATGTAGAACGACCAAACGCCATTATATGCAACACGAGCCACAACTTCACCCCGTACTTGCACAACATTAGTCCTCATTGACAGCGGTCAAACATCTCGAAGTGACTTCTCTCACACATCTGGATGGCTGACCTATATATATATATATATATATATATATATATATATATATATATATATATATATATATATATGATCTGTTTTTGATTGCCGCTGCCTTGGGAGCATTGCTGCTGTACGGTAGAGCATCACACTCGGAATGAAGATGTTCGACGAAGAATCTTCAAATCAGACAGACTTTGCCGACCATTTAGCAGCGTATTTTTTCTGCGCGGACTTTTGTGGCCTTTCATGTTCTTTGCATGCCTAATCATCGCTATTTTGTCGTGCCTTCTTCGCGCGTCCAAAAGTCGACTGGAGTCGAAAATAAGGTGGCCAACATATGACTTGGGTCAGGAGGATGAAGGATCTGACGTCATGGTTAGGTGTGCTCGGGTACGGTCGGCTCCCTGGCTGGGCGTGAAGGATCCGGAACACGGATGACTGGAAACACTCTCGGATATGGCAAGAAACCGTGTGCAGTGGCGGACTTATGACTTACTATTCCCATGAACACGGTTTACCCATCTCCCTTGTTTGTTTGTTGTATTTTCCGTACTTGGTGGCACTATGCCAATTGTACTATTAGCGTTGTCAAGTATATATATATATATATATATATATATATATATATATATATTCGCAGATTCCAGTCCGGAAGGTGAACTGGGCCAACAGCTCCCAGTTTAGTCGTCAAACCTCTTTCTCCCTGCTAGCTTAACTTTTCCTGAGTTCCTTGGGGTAAACTTCGGCGCGTACTGTGTCTGCAGTTCGTGTTGTTATGAAACAGCCAAACATAAACCATATTTACGGTGGACGATCTTTCCTGAGCATATGTTCGGAGTTTAGCCTAGAGATAACACGTTACGGAAATTTTGGTGAGTTCACACAGCCTACTGGCGCATCTCCATCCTCTGCAAGGTATAGCAAGGATAGATCGATCTGAAAAGCTTCTAGTAGCATCGTTACACCCGACGGATGTTAAAGAGGACAGCCAGGATTGAGGACCAAGTGCAAGCGAGTTGTTGACTTCTCTGTACTCCACATCACCTTGGCCCTCTAACGCTTAACGTAACGGACCCTGTTTTCCCACCCAAGAAAGCAACATACATTGACCGAATCAGGTCAGTGTCCTTGCTTTCTCCTCATTTTATCATGTATCACATCTGGGGCTTCACCATCAGTTTTGATAAACGACAGATGTTCTAGGGACTTGTCTAGTCCGGCTCGATTACATGAGAAGCTTTTTCTTAATCACCCAACTGAATTCCATCTCAATAGTGGTTGCACTATGCCATTAGTTGGCACGATTGTTGGCCAAACTTACTGAACCTATCCGACTTGAACTCCCCGGCTATACTTTCACAGATACGTTTGATTTTGTTGAGAAAATGCTGCCTTGAAAGTGGATGGGAAGTACATGGTTTCTTTCGATATTTGTTCGTTTTCACCAAAGTTCCTTTAGAAGAGACTCTAGACGTCCTTGGTATTCATGCGCACAAAGTGGGGTTTCCAGCGGTTCATTTCAAATCGCTGATTTGGTGTGCTTCGATAAATTCGAGAATGAACTATTTATTTATATATTTAATCTGCCTGTGCACGATGGATATCCAATTCTAATTCAACGGAGCAGTGTATCCTCAACTAGATGGCGTGGCCATGGGCAGCCCGCTTAGACCAATCCTAGCTGCTATTTCCATGGGGCACTTGGAGAACACCAAGCTTCGCCTTTATATTCATGAAGTACATTTGTATACCAGATATCTCGACGACACATCTGTTGTCGTTGATAGCGCTCAACAGGCAACGCATCTACTTTATGCCCTGGATCATTGCCGTCCCTCGATCAAATTTACGATGGAAAATAAAACAGCCGACTCCTTCCACTTCTTGGATGTGAGCCTTGAAAGGAATCCAGATGGTACGACTACTCGATCCGTGTGCCGCAAACCCGCTTGGACAGAACAGTATCTCAATGGTAACAGTTTCTGTCCGATTAACTACAAACGAGCGCTTGTGCGCACCACTTTTGCACAAGCTCGTAAGATCTGCTCCGATAAGGTGATCGACAGTGAATTGCAGCACTTCTCGGCAACACTACGCGAAAACGGGTATCCCAACTGATTCATAACACACCACTCAAACGCTAAAACACTTGAAAACAATGCAGCCGTCGTCCCTAAGTAGAAAGTATTCATCCAGCTACCATTCAAAGCAGACCAAAAAATGACAGGCGATTTCGATACCGTCTCGGACAGTCCATTAAGTAATGTTATTATGCGGCCGGGCTAGTTATTACTGCACCATGTTAGGTAGTTGCTCTTCAAATCCGACCTGGACAAGCCAGACTCTAAAGTTACCACCTTTTGTATCTACCTTTTTCACTGTACTTGCAGGAGCAAGTATGTGGGCCGAACTGAGAGGTGGCTATCCACAACGATTTCAGAGCATGTCCCGCTTAACATGGTTTCAGACGGCCCGAAGTTGCCCGCTAGCTCCGTTGCCCGGCACATGCTTGATTGCTTCATTTGCTAACATCCGCGTGAGTCATTCAGGATCATTAATCGGCAAAACACCGCCCGTCTGCTTCAGTTTGCAAAGGCCTCAGTGATCCGTAGGCTGAGGAAGCAGACGGAATTTCTGACTACCCTCCTCGCCTCTACTTGGTGAGGCGTTATCGATTAGCTTCATTTAATCCGAACGATTTTCTACCACGTTTTACCTTTGTTACATAGTAGTAGTAATTCCACTGATTGTCTGTCAACAGCTGATGAGAGGACATGAAGTATCTGAATTCAGTATTTACTGTTGAAATGCTGCTTCCGAAAGTCTTGTATGGAGTTCCATCTCAGTTGTTTATGGGGTATGGTTTGAATTTTCATCCAGATCTTTTACCACCACCACTTACCCGCAACAATACTCCGTCAACTATAATCGGTTTCCCTGCCTTACATTCTTGTTCTTATTTGATAGTTTCCACTTGATTGCATTATACAAACATTCTTTCTTCTCAGATCCGGCACGCCTCACACCCAACAGACGGAGGAAACTCGTGTATGGGTACGCAGAGACGGTCGCAATTGGCAGAATGTCCACGTCCACCGTTCATGTATGCCCGTGAACAGCGTACCCACCGGGTTTCATGCCGGCGCTCCCAACATGTCCGCCAGCTTCAACTATCCCATTTGAGGACAAGACTGGAGGGATTGCAAGTAAAGCACGCTATTCGCTCATTTCCCCCCAGGGTTATCCTTCCTTCGGTTCGCATCCATTTCCGCGTCAGTTGCGCAAATTCTACTCACTTGCCCCTCACCCACCCTATCGTCGCCTTCCGAGTTGCTACTCTACAGATACACATCCACACTCGTCACGAGCAATCCGCTTCCCTTCAACCACGATTGGAACTTGTTCGTACGTCAGCCTATCAATCCGTTCCCTTTAATTTTGTCAGTCCCTTTTGCAAATTATGTGCTCACCGACGAATACTTTGCCGTCGGTCTGACCTACACGCCACACCGTTCACCATCATTCCACATCATTTTGCAGGGTCCCTGTAAGCTTAACTTGGCTTCCTCTTCACCTTTTTGATTTCTCTCTCTCTGTTAGATGTTTATCGGTTTGCAATGATAGTTGTCTGTGATCGGTTTCCCAATATATCTCAACTAAACTGAGATCTAGCACGATAATCCTACTACATGCCAACGGTACACTTTCGTCCAGCTGGAGGGCGCGTGATTGTACGCACTATTTCTAACCTTCCTCTCTTGTGTTCATTTCTCCCATCCGTGCTCCCCTCCCCCCTTCCCCCCCCATGACTACTACAGTGTACTTGACGTTGATGTTCTCCTTCACGCGCGCCCGGGGAACATAGTCTGCGTCTTTCATGATACTACCTTACTCCCTCTCCTTTTGATTTTTATGCTTGTCTTCTTCGTGCTTAGTTGAGTGTGCTTCATATTCTCCTAATCGCTTCCTATCCAGATGTCTGACGGACATTCGCTTCCAACACGTTTGTGTGTGGCCACTGTTATTTATCCATGAGGGTGGTTGGGGCCTTTTTGATTCGATTCCTGCTTGTTTTCAACCGGATCCCACATTGTAAACACGTTATGTGCGCGAAACTGCATCAGGCATTGTGTGATCGGCTTGGTATACGAATAGTCCACAGATTGTGCTCCCGCCTTATCTACACGTCTTCTGTTTGTCTCAATGTACATACACTTATATTCATACATAAATTAACTCGTGCAATCAAGCCACTGCGTTGCTCTTCCACGCACACACACACCGCGCCACTCTCTCCCTTGATTGCTCCCCTCCACCTTGCTATTTCCCTGCTCGAACGCACATTCAGATTATTCTTTACATTTGTTTTTTCTACTTGCCGAACATAGACGCTGCTCGGTCTCTGGTTCTTCCCCCATTTGGCTTGTTTCTCCCTTATGCTTCCCGCCTCGGTCACAGTCACTTCAACCTCACTCCAGTCCGTGCTTGATCGCGGCGTTCGCGCGCATACTCGAATTCGATACTCTACCTGTCTACTTTCCCATCGACAGTGTGTCATGTTTTTTTCTGCTTCCGCGTTCACTCGGATCGACAACTGTCACCAAATTCCGGATTCTGCTTATGTGTGCATTCGTATTCTCGTCCTACTTTTACCTCTGTCTGTGGTCGTCCACCTACATCGGTCACTGTGCTACAACAATACGCTTGTATTTTTTCTGTTTTTATCCTCTCCTCCTTCACTGTATTTTACCCGAATATCTATGATGGCAATGCTTGCGCCTTCGCAACATCGCCTCTGTTATCTACCCTTTCCATGATCCGCACGCTGTTTCTCTTGTGTGCGCAATACGGGGCGGACTCCGGTAACCGCTGCTCTAGGTGTTGTTTCACAAGGCAAACACTTGGAATTCCCTATTTGGTCATCTTTCACCATTGAATCAGCCTTCTGGGACACTACATACATAGCTGTGTTTCGTGCTGGCCGGTATTTCGGTCGCCTAGGTTGTAACCCACAGGTAACCCATTATGTACTCCTCTTGGTTACCCCACGCTCTGACTATCTGGTAGTAACTCTCCTAGTCGAACGAATGTGTCTTGGAGCTATTTCACGCATGGTACGATAACCAACAAAATTCGAAGTTGGGCTACTCGTAGACTTAGCCGCAACAAGATTTCTGCACGCGAGTTGGTCGGGCTCCTTGACCGAACGCAATTTTACACGCAGCTACCCAACACAAGAGAATAAGGCAAATACTGGCCCTTCGCGTTGGCACTTTTACTGGCGAGGCTCAAGGCGATTACAGCGCAGTCCAGCCTCTTTTTTCTACCTCAATTGTAACATATGCGAATTGTCACATAAATTGGTTTGCCTAAGCAGGCCATGGGAGCAAGGCATAAGCAAGAATTGGCGTCATGTCGAATCGTTAATGTTGGTAGATGCGGAGGCTGGAATGGAAAAATGAATGTTTCTTAGGTTAAAGAAAGTTTCATGATTGTGGGGGTTGGCCAGAAACAGGACTGTTTTCTGAGGTACAAAGGCTAGTCGACATGCGAATGTCTCACAAGTTAGAAGGCTAGTTGAAAACATGTGCATTTGACTGAATCGAGTTGTGATCATTATGGGAACCTTGGGTCCCCATGACATAACCATCGCCATTATGTACTTTAGTTGGACGTCATCACTCTGAGTCAACTTAGGATCGGGCAACCTCACATGCGAATGCTGGTGGTCTCACGGTAACAAAGCATCGACACGTTCTATCGGGGCCCTGTCAATGTCATTTTTATGTGATTCGTGCTGCGTCAGCTTGTTCGTCCGCGTTCTTTCATGTCTTTTGCTTCACATGTGTTTATCGGTTTCACACTTGATCTACTAAGCGCCGGATGCTCGTTATCTACTTCCATGTCAACTGTAGCACTTGATGCCTACTGAATCTCTGGTTTATCTCTACTGATCGAATGGCCCTGTCCTTCAGATGCTGGATCGCAAGTTACACCGCTGACTTCTCGTTAGCAGTTATTGACAATATTCGTAGCTCTGGGTGTTGATTTGTTTCCCGAACTTATTGGTTTGATTACACACTTCTCTTCACCAGAGATGTCTCGTTTCCCAACAAATCGTCCAGTTTGAAGAACAATCCAGCTTCCCATACACCCTTCTTAAGTTATTCTAAGAAGCTTTTGTTCGTTATGTGCCGCTTATCATCTGGAAATGGGACGGATGCCTAGACTTTATGGTCCCCGCGACTCCGTTTTCCGCCCGATAGTCTTGTCTCCACAATGTCTTATCGATCAGCGTTTTGCATTTGCCTTAAACCGTATCGCAACGTTCTCTCAATCACCGACGGTTTTACAATCCTCCCCTGTCCTCTGTCATTAGACAGAACAGCTCCTGATGAGCAGATGCGTAGCACCTCTGTCACTCACAGAATCAACCATCACAATTCGATTGCTCTCCTTTTTCGGAATCTTCCAGTACTCGTGGATTGCTACCAGAATCAGTACCCAATGTGACCACTTCAGACGCTCAAATGCCACACACCTCACATATGTGGTGTTTTTATCGTCTGTTACTTTCACGCCAAGCTCTGGTCTTGATTTCTTGGGTCGGTACATAGGAATGACTCAGTCAGTAGCCACTGAATTACTAAATTAATAGCTATTGCAAATATGCTATGTGTCTGAATCTTAATGTGAGGTGATAGCTTACCTGATCCACTGTGCTTGTCTTCCGACTTATTCGTACCCTACAGGTCAGTTATAATATCCCAGAAATCCGGTCTCTCAACATTCATATGAAAGTGGATCTGGTATAGTTTGGTGACTGACTTCACCCAACACTCGGGCACATACAACAACAGTTTACGGAGCATACTCTCTTCTCAGGGCACGAACGCCATCATCAATAATAGAGGAGCATAGCTACCTTTCATTCGTGCCCTGTCATTTCTACGATTTCAGACAGCGTCTCGCCAACAAGAATCTTCATTCCTTATACATGCTAGCTAGAGCTGGAAAACACCTTTAACTATTGAGCCCCAATACATGGGAAAGAAAAAAATGACGCAACTGAACCATCTCAGCGGAGCCACCTGTTGCGGATAGACATTGTTTCGGAGAGCTACCAGCCGGTGTATTTTCTTATACTGTCAAAGTCTGTATCTGATTGATCTCAGGCGGATCACTTTGAGACTTTGCGATCGCACAAAATGTAACTGACTGAGTGCGTCATCCAACCGACCTTTAACTATGCTTAGTGTAGCTGCACAAACGACTGGATCGGGGTGTTCCAATACATGAATGGAAAATAAATTTCTGCGGCATACCAGATGGCTGTACTGATTTGCCATTTGAATGGAGGGAAATCTCAAGTTTGTGTTACCGCCGAGTTGGGGTCTGGAGTGGCACACATCATTTGGATTGTGTAAAATCGGGTATGTCATTATTAGGTCGTATAATAATTGACGATACCGTCCGTTGAATACGTCAAACGCTTCGGCCTTCAGATAAGAATATCACAAAATGAATGTTGTGGGGTGACATTGTCGAGGCCATTGTTATCGATTTACAGCGCTCTGTGTTCACAGTCGTCTGACTGTGACACTAAGCCTACCCCGTGGTAGCGAGTAACGTGCTACTCGTAAAACACGACGGACAATCGTTTTGATGTGGTCTTATTTTGGTGTATTTGTTCCTTGCACGTACGCGACCCGGACGAGAATTCACGAAATGACAGTGTCACCCCACAACATTCGTCTTCTGATGTTCATATTTGAAATTATAAAGGGAATTTCGTGTTTCAGCCTTTGACTGTACGAGAGATTGCCCACTCTAATGACGGACTCGGCAGCCCAACGCTTAGGCTGCAGTGAGGTCGTGTTTTAGCCATGGATGCCAACTTTGAATTGCGTGTTCGACATGGGGGCCAGCCTACGCACTGACCATCCGTCGGAAAATACCAATATCCGTATGTCCGAACGCTCGTCGCGACAGACCGAAGTGTTGTTTACAAGATTCCGATACCCTTTCGGATTGCCTGGAGCAACTTAAGTCACCTTGAACCAGCACACCCAGATCACTTTCGACGGAAGCTCGCCGCGGTACATGCATTCCGAGCCTGTTTGACTAGTTGATCTGATTTCGTATGGAAAGTACCTTGCATGTACTCACATTGAATTGCAGTA